CGTTTATTTTTATATACTATGTATGTCTTTTAAATAAAATATAATAAAAAAATCTCTTCTATGTGCGGGTAATTTGTTCTCTTACTATAATGAAGCTAATTCAATTTATTTTGCTTCAAATGAGCAAATGACAAGCGTTTGATTCCAAAGTAACATTTACCAATAGTTTCCCTGACAGTAAAAATTAAACGACTATATTAAAAATATTTTACAAATCCTTTAACTCTTTGAATAGATTTTTAATTTACATTTGGCACTTACATGGTATAACAAAGTCCATTCAGACGCCGACGGTGCCTAGAAGCCTCACTAATCACCGTCACCGACACTATAGAACGCAACACTGGAAACTACAAAATTTCAAAAACATTGGCATACATGATACTTAAGCAGCACCAACCCAACAACACAGGAGTCACATGATTTCATCGTCTACTCGTCCTCATCATAGGCAGAGGTTGTTTTGATAGGACCTGCCTCGCATGGGCCAGTAGGCCTTCTACAGTGTTCCTCCATTCTTATGTTCTTATGACATTCCTCAGGTCACGTGCGTCACATCTCACTCTCCGCCTATATATATAATGTCTTTCTACCTCTGTATGTTAGAAGTGATCAAGGTCCCAGGACCGAAACGTTTTCTAATAAATATGTTATAGTGTTTGCTTACGTGTCTTTCTAAACCAAAGTCCATTCTAAATCAGTGAAGGCTAGTTTTGTACTAACAGTAATATCATGCAAAAGAAGGAAATCAAGAAAGTATGCTAATACACACTGGTATAATATACAAAAATCTGTATTAAATACTGAAAGAAACCTGTACTAGAACAAGAAGAAGGTTCTGTAGGAGGAAGTACCCATGGAAAGACTAGAAGTGCTAAATAAGGAGGTACTGGAGGAGGGAGTGAAGCAGATACATATGTGTAATGGCCCAGAGAAAACGATTACAAATCACGATTCATTTTCTAATTTGACTGGGAAATCAGATGACGCTTAAATGTTGGTAATAAACAGTACAAAACTTTTGCAAGTCAATAAAGATTTAATGTGTTTATTCCTCGACGGTATGAGCTGCTTACTACAATTTTTGCTAATTATTATTTTCTTTTTTTAGCAAGAGTTTCACAGGGTTATTTACAACCTAAGAGCTGTTATCTGCATCACCTCATTTGCAATGTAACTGTTGTTTGCTGCCCGTCTTGTTGTGTAGAAGCTGTCTGCTCGCTGTCCACGAAGTGGAGCCAAGTGTCGTACCTTAATTAACAACATGGGAATTGTACCTAACAGTAAGGCCACTCATATACCTCCGGTGTTGAAGGCTTTGTTGAAATGACATCTGTCTAGGTAGGGTCCAGACGAGAGACGAGTCGTCTTGCTCTGTCCGCGTACACTTAAATGGTCAATGATCAATATATTGACCATGAATTTCAATCTCTTCAACACTAATGAATGTAAATATTCTTAATGGTGTACTTAACAAAAAATCTATACTTAACAAAAAATCTATATACTAGTATAAATAGTGTCTGAAGTAGCTAAATCTTCTTTGTATCTGCTACAATGACGCTCTTTGTTTCAGAAAAATTACTAGGCGAACGAGCTTCAATGAGAGCTTCAGCAGAGTTAATTCACACAATGCAGCATTAATATGGGCACTAGCACAACGAAAGATCTTCATGAGAGTCAATTATCACAAACGGAGATCTTCAGCTTTGTCAGGTCATACAGTGAGACATCTTCAATAGTATCAACTCGCAAATCGACAATGCTTTTGCATGTCTACTTCACAATGAAAGAGCATCTGCTTGATCAGCTCCGACACAGAGAATCAGCATGGTTAACTCAAACAATGAGAGCTTCAGCATGATTAACTCAAACAATGATAGCTTCAGCATGGTTAACTCAAATAATGAGAGCTTCAGCATGATTAACTCAAATAATGAGAGCTTCAGCATGGTTAACTCAAACAAAGAGAGCTTCAGCATGGTTAACTCAAACAATGAGAGCTTCAGCATGGTTAGCTCAGTGAGAGCTTCAGCATGGTTAGCTCAAATGAGAGCTTCAGCATTGTTCAATTAACGAAAGAGCCTCTCCAGGGTTAACTTCTAACGAGTGAGCTTCGCCATGATCAGCTCAAAAAGAGCCTCAGCGTAGTTATACACGATGAGGCTCTCTCAGCGGAGAAAACAACTAAACTGCTGGAACTGAGGCTTCTATAACGTTTTTCTTGTAAGTAATTAATGAAAAGAAAAAAGGAAATATTAACGTTTCATTGGTTGCGTGCAGTTGTGGATGAAGTATGAAGGTTGAGAGTTATTTGGCTTGAGTGTATGTAGGGACGTAGAATAAATAAAGAGAAAGAATTGAATGTTAATGTTATGAATGGAAATACCTTGCTGCTGGAGAAAGTCTTCTGTAAAAGTGAGATGAAAGTGCCTCTCTTTTCCTCTTTTCCTCATTGCATTCCTTTCCCAGAGCTCCTATGACGTTTACGGTCTTAAGGTTCTTAAATAGTACTACTACTACTACTACTACTACTAATAATAATAATAATAATAATAATAATAATAATAATAATAATAATAATAATAATGAATAATTAAGATGTAATAAACAATTGCCAATACTCAATAATAACCCTCATGAAGAAAAACTCAGAAGGGGGATCGAAATATACAGATCAAACAATCTCCTGTGTTTCTATCTCCATGTGGGTTATTATTGAGCAATAATAATATAATAATAATAATAATGTACTACTGAAAGGCAACTGGATCATCTAGCATTGCATACAGCAAACTTAAAAGAAGAGGAAGAGTTTCTTTGGGAAGGAGTGAGAAGTTTAAACAGGAATGATAAGGAGAGCTTGAATGAGAAGAAACAGGAGCGTGTAAAAGAAAAGGAAAGTGAGTCGGAATGGGGTGGAGGGGGAGAGATGGACTGGGAAGGAGAAAGAACGACCTAGAATGAGGAGACTGAGAATGCTCAGTTCGATTTAGATGGGTCATGGGGTTTCATCTCCACACTGTGAATGGCCAGATGATGGTAACAGTGCATAAGTGTGTGTGATACGTATGCAACCTATGTAAGGCATCGTTATGGTAAGGAATCACTTGTGGAATTTGATGGATACAGTGACTCAGTTAACTCAAACAAAGAGCTTCAGCATGGTTAACTCAAACAATGAGAGCTTCAGCATGGTTAACTCAAACAATGAAAGCCTCAGCATGGTTAACTCAATGAGAGCTTCAGCATGGTTAACTCATTGAGAGCTTCAGCATGGTTAACTCAAATTAGAGCTTCAGCATTGTTCAATTAACGAAAGAGCATCTCCAGGGTTAACTTCTAACGAGTGAGCTTCGCCATGATCAGCTCAAAAAGAGCCTCAGCGTGGTTATACACGATGAGGCTCTCTCAGCGGAGAAGACAACTAAACTGCTGGAACTGAGGCTTCTATAACGTTTTTCTTGTAAGTAATTAATGAAAAGAAAAAAGGAAATATTAACGTTTCATTGGTTGCGTGCAGTTGTGGATGAAGTATGAAGGTTGAGAGTTATTTGGCTTGAGTGTATGTAGGGACGTAGAATAAATAAAGAGAAAGAATTGAATGTTAATGTTATGAATGGAAATACCTTGCTGCTGGAGAAAGTCTTCTGTAAAAGTGAGATGAAACTGTCTCTCTTTTCCTCTTTTCCTCATTGCATTCCTTTCCCAGAGCTCCTATGACGTTTACGGTCTTAAGGTTCTTAAATAGTACTACTACTACTACTACTACTACTACTACTACTACTAATAATAATAATAATAATAATAATAATGAATAACTAAAATGTAATGAACAATTGCCAATACTCAATAATAACCCTCATGAAGAAAAACTCAGAAGGGGGATCGAAATATACAGAGCAAACAATCTCCTGTGTTTCTATCTCCATGTGGGTTATTATTGAGCAATAATAATAATAATAATAATAATAATAATAATAATAATATACGACTGAAAGGCAACTGGATCATCTAGCATTACATACAGCAAACTTAAAAGGAGAGGTAGAGTTTGTTTGGGAAGGAGTGAGAAGTTTAAACGGGAATGATAAGGAGAGCTTGAATAAGAAGAAACAGGAGCGTGTAAAAGAAAAGGAAAGTCAGTCGGAATGGGGTGGAGGGGAAGAGATGGACTGGGAAGGAGAAAGAAAGACCTAGAATGAGGAGACTGAGAATGCTCAGTTCGATTTAGATGGGTCATGGGGGTTCATCTCCACACTGAATGGCCAGATGATGGTAACAGTGCATAAGTGTGTGTGATACGTATGCAACCTATGTAAGGCATCGTTATGGTAAGGAATCACTTGTGGAATTTGATGGATACAGTGACTTCCTGACAATCAAATCTGCAGAACAACAGCGTCGTGCTGTGCAATGTACTTCAACTGACAAAGTTTGAAAGGTCCATGAACCTCACTACTACTCGGAAAACTTTTCTACATAACTAGAAGAACAAATCTCGACTGATTAACTTCCTCACAGAGGACCTTCAAAACAATGGGACTATAGTGAAATAACACTGACGCTCAGGCTGATCTCATAGTCTCTACGACGCACAGTACAAGTGAACAGACTGCCTCCTACAGGCGATGCAGACAAGTTTCATTTATATCTAACACACTGTACTACTAAACCAAACGCCCGTGGTAAGATTAGTGGCTGCCGAAAACGGGGTTAAACTGCTCATTTATGTGGAGTCACTGTACGGACTTCAATGCTCCAACATCCAGTTTCATTCCGGTGTATTTCGGGTACTTGAAAATCAACCAAGTGTTATAAAACCCATGTTGTCTGTAAAAATATTCAGTAAATATGTAATGATGAAGAAAATTGAAGGTGTTATTGTCGTGACTTAAACAATGGCGTTTAATTTCGACAGTTTATAAAAATAATAATTAGGCAGTACTCACTTGCATTAATTATTAAAACATTTTTTCTCCTGAACAATGTGTCACCTCTTTTATTTTAATTTAGTTCCATACTGAAAAAATCTGATTGCAGAATAGTGTGTTATTTAGATCATGTTAGAAAGTTTTTCTCCACCTTTGGTTGAATTCGACTTAATGATCCTTCACTACTAATCAAGATTTCATCCGGAACCAGCTGTAAGTGGTCATAGAAGAATTGCCACCGAATTTTCGGTTTTCTTTTGCTTTCAGCAGTCAACAGCATTGTATAATCGATGGAAGATAAGCCTTTAATAAGCTTTTAAATTTTTTCATGAAAGTTGAAGAGTGCCTTTTAAAACTGTCGGTCTTGGTCCAATAATGCTTTATTCATTATCATGACGAACAGAATATTTGAAAATGTTTCACCCTCTTTTGCCCTGCGGTTCATTGGGCTACGGCTGCAAAATTTCTTTATTGTAGTCCCGTAAGTGAACAAGACGTCCTCATACATACATGGAGAAATACCGTTGTGTAAGTGGACGATTAACACATCGATAAATATCAAAGTTATGTACTTTTTTGACATCAAGAAACAATTCTGCCGAAGGTTTGGATTTTGTTTTAGACGCAAATTGCGTCGGGTTGGATCCGAGGAAATTTTTTTTCACTAAAACATGAAAAACCGGATCCACTATATGTACTTCATATGGTCATAAGTCGGTAGTTGTCATGGTTCTCAGGTTACGTGATCATCGGTATAAGAATTGTTTACATCATTTCCCTCCTGTGCTGACTTGTCTTATCGAGATGGTACTGATATGAGCACTTGGTACAAATGAACAAAACGGAATCTCTTCTCCGGGAGGTATCCAACTCTCACAATATTGCATTTAACTAAGGAAACATCTCATTTATGGCGTTAATGACAGCCACACTTACCATAACTAAATGCAGCATGATTTATAAGCAAAGATTGTAAACAACTTACTGTATATAGTTTGTGGAATAATGATAATTGACTTTAAAGTTGTGATTCAGTTGGAAGTAATGCAGCAATATGAATGGAAATTAATCATGATAGTAGCATGTTGGTAATGACTGTAGTAAAATGCTTTAATTTCAGAAACTGGTTGTATTGAAAGTGCTGAAGATTTCAATTGTTCCAGTATTTTGTAAAGCTGACGTATCACGATATTTTCATCTGGCTACAGCGAGTTCGTATTTTGACTGTTTTTCTTTGCACGAGCTTTTCCCTAATAAATTTTTTAATGTGCCTTATCATATTTGGACTTAATATAACATGACATGATAAAAATTTGAAAACATTCAAATTGCATGGCTATAATTTTCCATTCCCTCCCAGAATATTACCCATGCATATTCCATCACTATCCCCATGGTTTCTATTATATTCTTTAAAATGCTCTTTACCTATATAGTTGATTTGTCGTTCAACTTTTTTCATGCTATTGTAACTCTACATCATTGTCATGAACTAAATTAAAGCTAATCGTTTTCTAGGGCACTTCACTGTATCCTTAAAAAAACTGAAGACAGCCTAATAGACAAGATCTATACACAATGGAATTTATACAGTATAATATATTCTAGAATATAAATACAGGTAGTTTTCAGAGGCCTATATATATGTATGTATATAATATATACAGCTTTGGCAAATTTAGGGTTACTCATTAACCCATTTGCAGTGATATACTTTTTCTCTCTTCATCTCGAAAATAAAATTGTGAGTGAAAAAATAAGTAATATCTATTGATTCTGAAGAAAATAATATCTGCTATTTTAAGATTCCTTCTGTCAGATTTACAAAACCGTCTCTGTTTGATGTGAATCAGAAATTTTGTGTGTGGCATCTTGAGTGGCGGAGTCGGAGTGGCTGGGATCATTCAAGGATGCCCCAAGAATGAACGCCGTGGGA